CACTTTTAAGCCTTTCGTGACGCTTATATGTCTTTATGGTTTAGGCTGTCTCCTACGGAATAAGCAAAGTCCACGGATACCTAAATTATTTTATGATATAGGCATATTATAGAAATAAAATGTATCGAGTTCGCAGGCAAACTCATATGAAACTCAGAAATGAAAGCAAGTCTTAGGCTATAAAGGTGTTTTTAGGAACTTTGTATAAATTCAGGGAACAATACAGTTATAAATGTTGCGGAATTAATTGTAAAATCATGGGTAGATTTATATTTAAATCAGAGACTGTGCATATGCAATTTACATCCGTCCAGGAATAGCCCAGCAGAGTATATAACTATTTATAAATTACCTAAAATTTAAACTGCTGTCAAATTAATAAATGGCCAACAATGCTTTTGTTTTTCTATATGTTGCAACTTGGAAAATCTACGTTGCACCTGAGGCAACGTTCGCTCAGTTACAATGGTTAGCACAATTCCATTTATCTGACTTGTAGCCTAGTGTTTAATTTTTCCAAAGCTTTGCAGGGGAGAAAATCCTTGAAAACCAATGGTAATTCCAATCACATATTGAGCTTAAGCACAAATCCTGACGTGTATATGACTTCAATTCTTACCAACAAACTGTCTGTTTCCCACGCGTGGATTCGCCTTCATGGTAATATATAATCGAAGTAACAGATTAAAAGTAATGCTATTACACATAAAATAGCTGAGAACACTAAAACGCAAGTACGGTTTAAAAATATACGCCTCAAAATGCTAATGTATGTTAGATACAACTGTTTTTATTTGTAGTAAACAATGACGATATTTATAAAATCCCAATAAGTACAACTATTTACTTCAGAAGTAATAAGGCAGGTTGGATGAATGTAACATATACATCGCGAGCGTAATAATAAGTGAAATATTAACCTCGAATTTGTGCTTGTCTTAAACCTATGCCATTGGTAACAAGAGCTGAGTAAAGGATATCAAACAACTCATACCCGACGATCATTTTGATAAATAAGTTTTAGTGTTTCGGAAATGTGATTAAAAAAACTGAATGCAAACATTCCTGCAGCTACTGGTTATCTTGTTCGTTGAAATTTTTGGCACTGATTTTCGCTTCTCATCAAGTGATACAGTTTACGTTTAGTCCAGTTACTTCTCTTATCCATCCTTTATTTAAACATATTCTTCGTTACAGGTGACTATAAGACCTTAGGCAGCAAATCATGGTAGATCCGGATGTCATGGGGGAAATTTCGTTAATGGAAATATGGTTTTCATCCACGTAAAATATTATTCGTAATATTTTCATAGAAGACCACACTAATCCGGACAGCTGTAAAGGCTTCGGCATAAGAGTGGCGTGTAAATTACAACCGCTATACTGTAGGCTGACTTCAAGCACAGCACAGCTTATCATTGCTTTTACTTTGCTTATTCACTAAATTCTCACGTACACACACGCTGATGATATAAAAATTATTTATTTTAAACCATGGAGTTTTATACAACATGACTTAAAGACCTTCCCCAACAGTTTTACTTCTGACTAGCTGCTAGTTTATGAACGTAGTGTTCAAATAAATTGGTTCCACAGCTTCTTCCGCAGCCATTAAAATCGTAAATGTTAGGTAATTTTCGGACCTGGCAATTTATAAAGGTTTTTGTTTTATTAAGTATCTATTTCTAAAATCAACACATTTCACGTAAAATTGTGTGCAAATTTGTTCTTATGGTCCTGCCAATTATTGTATAGTTTTATAAAATCTCCACTTTTCTACCATTTTCTTTGATTGAAAATGCTCCTACTAACCAATTATATGTGAAAAATTACCGATATTTTCTTTATACAATGCATGATCATATAATCATATAATCATATAATCTTTGTAAAAAACGAGAATTATCAAAAGCTTTTTCTGTTGGGTTCTCAAACCACCAAACTAAAACTTTTGAGTGCTGCCGTCGTTCACAAATGTAGCAATTATATAATTTCTGCCTGACCAATAAGTACCACTTCAATACACAGTAATTGGCCTATTAGATTTTTCGGTCCGCAATATCTTTTTCCGAAATAAGTGCAACATATTATATCAATGCAACTTAACTGAGTTATAATTAATTTCTTAACAGCAATTTATTTTAAAGATTTATATGAATCAAGTCCATATTACTGGTAATAGGTTCCTCGTACATTACAAATTTATTACCATTCCGGTAGCCTATTGAAACACATTAATCGAAGCCGTGAATTCAAGAACAATTGTTAATAAGTTTTGTTCCCAAAGGTAACATTGAGAACATGAGATGTTCATCTCTGACAGGCGTGTCAAACGTTTTGCAAGTTGGGTCACATTTTGTGCGGTAAATATACATCGGACCATATTCCGTCCGACCATAAGACCACAACAAAATTTTATACTGATAGAAACAGTCCAAGCCCGAATTAACAATTTTTTGATTATGCCGCGGGCCAGTTGCAAAGTTAAAAAGGGCTGCATTTGTTCGCGCCCGGATTTTGTACATCATTGATCGAATCTATTACCCGACTTGATTCTCTACTTGCCCTCTGCAACAATGTAGTGGTGGAAGCCTTGCAAATGTACCATGGATTGCACAGGTTTCGGTATTTTATTGTCGACGTAGATGCTAAACTCTCCGGATGTAATAATAGTTTTACCACGACGCTTACAACTATATCTGAATCATCTGTGCAGACGAATCGCCACCATCGAATACTCATGTATATTTGTTTATTATGTTTTAGTCACTAGGCTACGACTGATGTGTTGCCTGACCCATTGTTGCGGCGCTTTTTGTAGCCTAATACCCGTATGGTAGACGATTGTATTATGATCATCTGCCGTAATGTCATACATCTTACGTGAAACATAGTAACATTTCATGACAAGATATAGGATGTCTAAGTTCATAGATGTTTTATTAAATTATTTTCTAATGAATACAAATAAATATAGAACAGTTAGAGTTATTTGTAATGGATTTCAAAAGTAAATGTTTTTTCATATACTTATACTGGAACAGTCGGGTTTGATGATACACTGCATATTTTGTTAATCTGAGTAAGCGTTCAAGATCCCAAGTAATCATTAATAAAATAAAGCAGCTTGGTGCGGTCGACCAATCTTAGTAACTGTGCTCACTTAGATGAAGCATAGACAGAAAGAACTTAGTCTTACATTATTTGAGATCCAATCGGTTCGTTATCCTGTGACGTAATATTTCGTTGATTCGAGGTTGTGGTACCCTAGCACATAAAAATACAGCTTATGTACATAGCAAATATGCAACGATTATGATCTGTCGTCAGTTTAGGTTTAACATACCTCATGTTGTTATAATTATTATTGTGGACCGCCACTTTTCATAGTGTACTCTCTGCCTTTGAGACATTAGGATTGCGTTTCATTAAAACTTGCATGAATTTATAAGTAAGTTGCTCGAATCGCATTTTTAATTTTAAATTCTTATGGCGTAATTAACACATATATGTACCTTGCATTTTACCTGCCACAGATTCATCAACCTTCACAAATTCGCTCAAAATCTCTCCAGATTGACTAAATAAAACATCATATACTAGAATATAGAAATCCTAAAATGTTTGTATTAGGATATTTGTTTCTTTCGACAGATAAATGCAACAATCACTAAAATAATAATCATCAAGTTCCAATTGTTTGACAAGATAGGGTTGAACCCAATACCAGTAAATCGAGGCTATGTTAATGATTCTTATTAGCCGACTTTATTCATAGTTTGAAGTTCCGGAAACGTTTATTCGCCTAATACCTGTATTTTCAGTGCCAATTATAAAAGTATACAGTTTTTAATCCAACTGTTTCTGTTTCGTCCTTTTGCAGCAGCAATCTTAAAAGAGAGAACCTATACATATTCGGTTAATCAAACTTGACTTGACTTTACTTTGCTTAAGATGGAATGTTCAAAATTAAGCTACGTTCGCCAAATTAGTATTAATGAGACGAAAGATCTTTATTCGTACTTACGTAAATCGATGGTGGTTACTGCATGTTCTAGTTTGATGTTACTGGCCAAATTTGCGACTTGTAATGTGTAATCAAATTGCGTTTGTTCTGTGCGGGTTGCACAAGCACATCGTATGCGCTACTGAGCTGGTCGCAGACATGGTTGAACTGTCTCAAAAGCGGTAAGAAGTAACTGCTTACTTTTTATAGAAAAATATGACTAATTCAGGAAGCATATATACAAATGTATTTAAATTAAAGCTGAGCGTTTCATTTATGAAATCGATGTCAGCATTAAAGCCTCGATATGCAAAGGAGCGGTGTACCACATGTGTAGATGTGAAAATTTTGTATAACTGTATATTGTTTGGTCGTTATTTAATATGGCAATTCTTTGATTATTATTAGTAGCACGTTAAGTACTAATTAAGTTAAGACTTTTTTAAGGCTCTGTTAACTCTTCCAATGTTTGGAAAAGTGTTCAATATAGGGGAATAAATTTTCGCACGATATATCCAATTCGACTTATCAACAGCATGAATTCTACAATTGCCGTGTTATTTGTTTGCCACAATATTTTCAGATGAAAAATAAGGGTTAGAAATCAATTCAAGCCAGTGCATTTTATAATGGAAACATGATATTTCAAGTAAATTTGGAGCAGCTTTTTACTTGAAAAATAAGCATCTGTATGACATATGGCTTCAGAATTTGCATCGGTGTGGCGGTCAACTTTATCCCAGGAACTGTAGATGGTTTCTGAAATATTAAGTAAAGTTTCAAATTTATCTTTCGAAGTAAGACGTTCTTAATAAGTGTACAGTCCTCAGTCAATCAGGATATCAAACCTAAAAGGATTCACTAGAATTTTTAATGCGCATTTACGGAAACGGACATAACAGAGCCGATATAAACCTCTCAATGGCAGCAATTTGACATATATTCTTTGATGTCAAAGTATCTCATGCATTACTGCAACTCTCATACTTTACAGGAAAAACGGGCAGACAATTCAACGAGCAAGAAACTATATGGCTTGGCGGTGTACCATTAATACATTTGCCTTGTAGCTTCCCAATATATTTAATCGGTAAGTGTAAAGATAAGAAGAAATATTTAGAAGATGCGGTCCAACACTTTATTTAATCCATCTTGCAAAAGTACATTCATAACTTCTTAGAGTTTTGCAACGTTCACGTGTTGGTACACATGTTATTCAAATAATATTCTTGCATATAGGATGTAAGCTCTCAAAGCTCTTGTCATGTAAGTTTAATAGTGTATTTTACATGGAAAATGAGTTTAATAAAGCGATTTTTATGCCGGGCACATTTTGAGTAAACTACAACGTAAGCAAGGCCAAGACTTAGATCAGCAATTAACATTATCTTAAAGATATCATCTGATTTTAGCGCCATATATTTGTTGCAGGCATCGTAAGTTTGAATTTTGAGCAACTTACGAGTGAAATTTTATTTTTCAGGTGTGTACTATAACGGGTTATTGCTAAACGATCTGGCAGCTGGACTTTACCATCGATCGTTTGTCAAAGTAACGGCTTACGATACTGTTAGGCACGTGCAAAACAGTTTCATCAGGCTGGCGCCTGGAAGTCCATTTACGAGGTAAGTTGGCTAAAGTAAATAATGCGCATAAACTAGCCGACGTCCAAGTGAAGTGGTTTACCAAAAATTTTGCGGAATAATTGGACCTTCAAAACGACAAGGAATGGCTACTTATAGTTGGATAGCTAACCTTAAAACAAGCGTTATTTCAGCAGTGCTTACAAACATTTAACAACCCGCCATAAAATGCAAATAATAATTAGAACAGAGAGAAAGTGTTAACCAAAATGCCTTGCCCGTTATGTGCACCATAAATTCAACGATTGGCATGACACTCACTGAGACAGTGTTACATCAAAATTAGCAACGCTAGCAAAATTTTATGCATTTCTTTCTTCCTATAAGTTTGCTTGTGTAGCTTGTTGGCAATGGGAACAAGTCTTCGTTGTCGAGATAAAAATGATTTTTATGTAATGTAAATAAAAGGGAAAGCACCTCGGCTCTTCTATAATTAGAGTCTTTATAATGTTAAACGACTAATCTCGCGTTTAGACAGTAATAAGGGGATATGCCTCACTTATATTAGATAAAGTGTAAATGTTGGCATGGAACACAACATATTCAAATATGTTGGATTGAAACGAGTTAAATATTGTGCGTATTTATTTGAGTTAGAGAAAAGATACCCAAGCATGCACGACAAAAAACAATGGTAAATTAAATTTAACTTTATAATTTGCTAGTCCCCATATTTGTTAAATCAAGATTAAAACCAGGTTACATGGGATGCGGAATATAAACCAGAGACAACTGACAGTAACATGTCAACCGTTGCATAATATTATACACTGGTTTTCTAGAAAATGCAAATATGATATTCCAAACTGTAGTGGTTAGGATAGCTACATATATCGGATGATGTTGCAACAAAAACAGTACGCTATCTACTAAGTGCAGGTGTTGGTCTACGAATCTATGTAGAAATACCAGAAGTCAACAGCTATTAATCCCATTATGGTAATAATTATAAGGCATACGCAAGTGTTATTAAATATAAACCATTACTGTTGAGCCTCTCATACATTTTCATAACTTTATATTTTCAGTGTCCTTTTTCACTTTTGCATGCACTGTAACTAATTGTGGAATCGAAACTCTGCAGTGGTTTCAGGCGGGCGACACCAAATCTGCTGCTGCTTCTTCAGCTACGGTCCTAGTGATCGACTGGCCAAGGTTCACTTGAATGGGATCGCGGTCCACTTTGAGATTGCGCGTCGCAATCCATCCACACAACGTGTACTTCAAATTGACTTTCCAATCTCTCATTAACCGTTGTGCCAAGCGTTGCCTGTCGTGAACCGGTGGCCTAAGGGTGGGCGGTCACAACTAACATCCCAATGGTCCCGGGTTCGATGCCTGCTATCTCTATCTGATGAGAGGAAATAACCTCGAAACGCGTCATGGAGTGCAGTGGTTTCAGGCGGGCAACACCCAATTTGCTGCTGCTTCATCAGCTACGGTCCTAGTGATCGACTGGCCAAGGTTCACTTCAATGGGAATCGCGGTCCACTTTGAGATTGCGCGTCGCAATCCATCCACACAACGTGTACTTCAAATTGACTTTCCAATCTCTCATTAACCGTTGTGCCAAGCTTTGCCCGTCGTGACCCGGTGGCTTAGGGGTGGCGGTCACAACTAACATCCCAATGGTCCCGGGTTCGATGCCTGCTATCTCTATCTGATGAGAGGAAATAACCTCAAAACGCGTCATGGAGTGCAGTGGTTTCAGGCGCGAAACACCCAATTTGCTGCTGCTTCATCAGCTACGGTCCTAGTGATCGACTGGCCAAGGTTCACTTCAATGGGAACCGCGGTCCACTTTGAGATTGCGCGTCGCAATCCATCCACACAACGTGTACTTTAAATTGTCTTTCCATGTACCACTTAAGTTCACTACTTTTTGTCTTCAAACCTAACAGTGTACTTTTCTCTCAAACTTGGGAAAACGATATACTTCCGAGACCCACGTTTCCATCCTAATGTTCCCAAGCTTTAGCAGTATTCGCTTATCCCGCCATGATGGCGCGTGTCGCGTATATGCGCACAAAATGCACCATACAACTTCCGTGTGCGACCTATTTCTAGATGGCCTTGATGACTAGTATAACATCTGACTGTAACTGAACCCCCTCCGAACGGTAAGCAAGAACACCACCATGCGAGACGAGCTGTATTTCAAAATTGACAAAGCTGAGGAACCGGGATTCAAAAGAATCGTAGATCAATTTTCCAACCACATGTGAAGACATTCATGAATGCTGAGCGGCCTAGCTATGAACGACTGTTGTGCGTGTGTACAACACAATCACTTGACTGGACAGTAACGGATGTAGCTGTGAGTGACTATGAAGCACAAGCGCTTCTAACACGTCCCATCTTTAAATTGAACGGAATAACACGCTATGTATATTGGTAAGATTTACATCTTGTGTTCTCCTCAGGTCTCTCCACTTGGGCTCTGCTTCTCCTTAGCTTCGATCTGTGGTTACCTCTTCTGTTTGGATGACAGACACTTCATAATGGGTTCATTGATATGAATCCAGCAAGATGTCCAACGGTAGTGAGGCTTCCCGTTTTTGGGACGTCTCTTGCATTTCAAAACCTGGTCTAATATGGTCTAGTACTTATGATGAAATCCACTTGTATTCTGTACAAAACACTTGAAATCACTTCCACGACGCTGCCAGGGATCCAGAATGATCTTCCGTCACGAGAATGCTTTACGTACACACTATCAGCAGGCACAAAAGGCCGGGGGCGTGGTCCAGGATGGCGATTAAAAGCGAGCTCAATTTAAATATTGCGCTCGCACTTGTGCAGCGATGGTTTCAAAGCATCAAGCACTGTTCTGTTGCGCATACCGAGAAACTTTTCGGATGGGGATATGTTTTGAGGTACTTTCTGGAACTGGCGTCGTACGGTAAACCTGCCAATCTTTTCGATGTTTTTCCAAATTTTCCCCTTTACTTCCATTTCAATCAATGCTCGCTTAAACGTATCGACAAAATTTTCAGCCTGCCCGTTTGACTATGGATGGTACGCAGGAGTGCGTATGTGTTCGATGCATTGTGAGTTGCAAAAGTTGCCAAATTTTGGCAAGGGAATTAGGAACCGTTGTCCAAAACAATCGTACCAGGAACACCGAATTTTAAGCTAAAATGTTGTAGGTGTAATAAAGCAGCGGAAGTGGCTGAGTACCTCCTTTGAAAAATTTCAGGCAACTGAGTAAACCTCGACAATTACCAGTTAGTGAAAACCCACCTAGGGTTTGGCAGTAATCAATATGAATGCAGGAACACGGTCCACTTGGAGTTTACCAAGAATGAAGCTCACATTTGACAGGTTGTTTTGCTGCCATAGCGCAGCCGTTACAGGAACGAACCACATTTTCAATGTTCTGGTCAATAAATGGTCAGTAGGCATGACTGCGGTCTATGGATTTCATACGACTGATTCCCGGGTGACCTTCGTTGAACTGACTGAGACGCTTCTCTTTTACAATCTTGGGAATCACAACTCAGTCAGACAACATCAAGCAACCATCAATGATGGTTAAGGCGAACTTCCTTTTAAGAAAAACGACTCACCATAGCTGTCCAAGGAGCGTCCAGGCCAACTAGTGTCAAGATACCCTATAATAATTTATAACAGGGGATCTCTTGCTGTTTCTATTCCAACGGCTGTTACTGTAATTTGACGTACAGATGTTTGCAATACGCGTCTAATCTCGGGATCTACGGTAATGCTGGACACAACAATGTATTCATCCGATGTCTTGGAAGTGCAGTCAGCAATCAGCCTGGATAATGCGTCAGCATGACTAAGCGAAGAGGTTCTTTTAAAACGCGATCCGAAATCTAATGCTAATAGGATGATGTCCCAACGCTGTAATCTGTTTGCTTGTGAAAGGAGCTTCCTCGTTTGGTACCAATAATAGATGGCGAATGGTTATGATCTGTGTACAAATAAAATTTGTGCCCACGTACTACCTTATGAAATTACTTAACCGCAAAACGAGCGTTAATCCTTTTTTTCTCTTTGACTGTAGTTCTATTCTGCTGCTGTTAACTCACGGGAATCATCCATCACAGACTTTTGATAACCGTTCGGGAACTGATGCAACATGACACCACCGACGCCGTTTTGCGATGCATCAGCAGCGACAATTATTAATAATCCCGGGCCGTAATGATGAAAAAAGGAGATTGGAGGACAATATTTGTTTAATGCAATCAAAGGCTTGCTGACACTGCGAGAACAAATGGCACACTGACTATGTTTGTTTACTTCGATCACAGTTGATAACTAAACACAAAATAAGTGGATTCCAAGTGTGGCGTTGACACGACGTAAGTGAGTGTTCGTTTGTATCCACACCTATATGCGACTTTGTTTATCAGCTATCGCTTCAGTGTCTCCATGCATGAGGTAATTTAAATATCATAGGAACCTATGTTGTTATTACGATAAGTAGGCTTTACCTCCATATAGTTGCCCATAAGTGTTGAGATGCTTTGACAAGTGGCTCTCCGAATGGCACCATTAGAAACACAGTCAATGCTAATGGAACCTCCCTATAATGTCCATGGACTGGAATCCTATCCTCATGAAATGAGCATTACCCAACAAAAATCACCTAAAGGGGCTACAACGGCTACGGTGTTTATACATGCCATATCGTCCTGCTAGAAAAACGCGAAGTTGATAATTAATGTCGATGCACGCATTTCACTCTAGTAATGCAGGTTACTACTTGGAATAGACAAACAATGTTGTCTCACCCACGGAGGTTACTACAATGTGTTTGCAATCAATTACAAAGGCAACCGTGCCCACTAATCCTACTATGGACCACTGTTTCAGCTAGTCTTAGAAGAAGTTATGTGTGAACGCCGTGACACACGTGGTTATCGACTTGGCAACTACTCGGAAACATTTTGTCATCGGAAAGTAGGTAATTCCGGAGGCAATGATAAGGGAGGAAAATCGCTCCAAAACCT